TTGGCTAATTGTTTTTAAGATCAATCCGCCTGCCTGACATCAACCCTCTTTGGGAATGCATAAATCAGTGATGTCTAAATACTCTTAGATAATAATATGGCTCCGAAAAATCACATTGGTACTTGCCAGGGCCAGGATCGAGCCTGCGCCCTCGAGCATGAGATGCGAGCCTTTTAACGACTAGGCCACCACTGACTATAGAATATAGAATATAAAAATCTACATGCGATGATTTAATATTTTAGTCATATTAATCTAAGCATAGAACGTTGCTATGAATAGAATAAAGGTGAGAGGTCATTTCTTTATTTAGAATAAAAATCAGTCTGCGGTTTTTCATTTTTGCATCAGGTCAAGGTCCCTCGGTGATTGAAGCTCAAAGTACGTTTCATACGACGAGAGACTAGTTTTTAAAAGAGTATTGCAACAAAATAAATACTATAGGACATAAATTAATACATCACTGGTAACTTAAAAACGATTTTCTAAAAGTAAAACAAAATTTTTCAACAAATATCTATAAAAATTAAAAAAAAACTGGGTTAATATTAACTAAATAATGCATAGCTATTTGCCTTTTTCTTTCTTTCGTTCAATACATAAATGGGTTTTGAAAATGTATAAGTGTTATGATATTTTTCTCTTCAATTATTTCTTATTTATCTATAAATAACTAAACGAGACATTGAACTACGACTTTAGAATATTGTTTTAGAATCTCAGTATATTATTTGCATTGTAATTAAATTAATTTTGAATGTATATATTTAAATCATATAGTACAAAAACAGAACTACTTTCTATATTTGTGATACAATAATCATTTCTTGACTTTTTTTTATCTCAATTATTATACTCTGGTGTCTGGTACTGATTATAATTGGTAATAGATATACATAAAATGTATACCTACAAAAAACACTATATTTTATTAGAAAAAAACTGGGAAATAAGTAAGCTTCACATTATGGCAATTTACATAATATTGACAGTTTTATTAAAAGAAAATCGTGAACAATTTAGATGATTTAGGTCAAATTCATCTTGTAATACAATTAGTCCTAACACTGTATTTTGTATTATGTATTTCGGCATTTCAAATAATCGTTAATTCTCAATGAAGTAAAATTATTTTAAGCAAAGTTTCGTATAAGAAATAAAGCATATAATGAACTTCATAGTACTATTTTAATAATGATAAAGAACGTGATGTTTGTTATCACTTCACCAGTCGTCGAGTGTCTCGTGTAACCATACGACTTAATTAACACAAGATAGCTGTTATCATTTATGATAAATGTTTGCTTGTATCTCATGCGTATTAACAAACTGCTATTGACTGAACTGAATAACTTCAACACAATAAGACTACATCAATACATAATTCATCTATTTTTTTTATATAGAAAACAATATTTTGTCTAACGAAAACAAACAGTGCTGTAAAACTAAAAATTAAAGATGATTCTGAATTCTAATCTTTTAATCGAATATATTGTTTAATAGATATCATATTGCTTTCATTATAAGTCATGAGCGTATTATTAATAGACATATTGTCGTATGAAGAAAACTGGCATGACGTTCTCTTTTATTATATAATAGTGACATTACGTCCAAACACGTGTATTGGAAATTTACTGTTAATAAACGAGTGAAATTCATTAAACAATATTTTTAATTCCTATTCTATTAAATTTAATAAAAACTCCTAATATAAATATTGTCACTAACAATATTGTTTCCTTAATCATTTTCCATTACGTCCTTCTCTTCTACAAAGTTGTTAAAGTGTAAAGTTGCAGCCATTTAAAGTCTTTGACGCTACTGGGAAACACTTGCTTGTTTATAAGTAAGGTTTCCAATTAACAATAAAGGAAGGGTAATATTAGGAATATGTCGTGACCGTTTAAAGACTTATTTTGATATGATCTTATCTTAAAAATAAATGTTATTAATTTGTCATTGAATTTTATGATAAAGCTTGATAAAAAATCAAAATCATTATGGTAATTGATTTAGACCGCCACCCAAATTATAATGAATTGCTTTGAAAATAAAAGAAAACCTAAAAAAAGTCCTATTTATCGTTATATGCGTTGTTAGCTTCACTTGTTGGTTGTGGATAAAGTGTAGACATTATCTTTGTTTATTTCGTCAATATTTATACATGACACAATTAAATGAATAGCTACAGATAAATTAATTCTGGAAAGCTCCTGTTTTAAGTGTTCTAAGGAAACTATAGGTGTGGAAATATTCTATTTGATTTTTAAAAAGTTAGCAAGCAAACAAAGAATATGAATATTATAAATTCTATTTAAAAATATTTTTAACTTCCTCTATGTTGGCCATCCTCTCATTTACAGCTTAATAATATTTTAATTGAAATTAGAAAATGCACAATAACTTTCTTACTAAAACACTGTTCATAAAATTTTTGCTAACGTTATCGTTTTAGTATTTCAATGACAATACTTACATTTATAAGTCTCTATTGAAATGGTTTCACTTTTGTTGTAATGGTAATTTTCTTACGATGTGTATCACACACTTATTTCTTCGAAATGTAGCGATATCCGATTATAGGAACTGATTAAGTCGAAATATAAATAAGTTATACTACATTTATACGAAATCTGTACATTGAAGTAAGTTTTGTAAGCATTGCATACATACTAAGGAGATGTTAATATAAAAAACTTGTCACGAATATATTTATTGATTTATATACGATTTCTTTCAGTTCTAGCTGAAATTATTATTTAAAATCTCAGTAACAAATACAGTTAAAACAAAATGTCTTTTAAAAGTTATGTACCCTTGAAAATTAAAAAAATAAGACGTTTTAAAAGGATTTAATTCACTTAATTACTTTTTAAATTATAATTAAAATTTTATTTTATTTTTTCAATATTCAAATTATATATAGAAATATAAATAAACTTTTAAAATTTGAACAGAGATCCTATCAAAGTTAGTGAAATCAGATCAACAACGACTGGCAAGAATCCAAAAGAATAAAACTTTCGATTTGAGTATCCCAACCTCCATTCTATTTTTATCTCATTATTGTGTATTATTTACGTTAGTAAGTTATTTAAGTTAATAATGCTTTCAGGAATTTAACTGACTCCAGATCTAATAAGAACTAGACCATGTATTTGTAATATAACAGATTTTAATATTCAACTGCACTAAAATCCATAGATTCATATGATTTGCAAACAACAATTTCCATAATTTGAATTTATAATTGCTGATTTACTGATAATTGTCAAGTACAAATACCGAAACTATATTTTCATATATACTGAGTAAATATGTTATAAAATTTAACTAACACGATATATTCTAATATCTTCTTGCACATTTAAACAAATACGATATATCTACTCAAATCTATTTTCCCTGAGTCGTATTAAAAATATTGTTATCAATACTGATTTTAAATAAAATATAGTACAAAGCATTAGAATTAAAAATAATATGAAATATAATGTTTATTAAATTAGCAAACGAATTACCTCAACCCACTTTGATAATAATATTCCTACATGTATTATTGTCTTTTTCTTTGTCGTAAACAAATGTGTTTAAGTATTTAAGTTTATTCTTTGTCGTAAACAAATGTATTTAAGTAATATGGATATAAAAACATTATTCGTAATAGTATTTTGTACGATAAAGAACTACCTCAAAAGTGATAATGGTGAGACTTCTATAGAACATTTAAATTTAGTCATTGTACTATTTTTTTTTACATTTTTATTATTTGGTCTCTACACTTCATAAATAAAAAAATCGTGTGCATTACATCTATTTGTGTTTAATATTTAATAAATACCACACTGCTATCACATTTTGTACATGTTTGTAATTATTTTATAAAAGATTTATTTTCTTATGAATTCTACAGGTGTCTTAAGTGCATTCGTTAAGAAGAATTAGCAACTGCGTATAGCTATGGTGAGATCACATAGTTATAATAGGAATCCTAATAATACAACATATTCTTGTTATATTCGAAATTCATATATAATACTCATTTTATTTTTAGGTAAATAATGGAATGTTTATTTGTGGAAATATTAAGATGAGATATAAGTAAAATTTCGTCGCGTTCAGTATTTATTATTTTAGGAAAATAATTTATATTTAGTATATAACTTTTCCCTTTAAATAATTATTATAGAAGACGAGTCTAACTGTATAAGGTAACCGCTGGAACCAGCAGGTGAATTTGTTGTCGGAGCCAGTTTATCTTAAGCAAGAAATATTACCGTGTATTGAACTTTGTATTCAATATAATACCTACTTATTACACTACACTTGACTAAACTCATTTTACCTCAAACAAAATTATATCTTCAACAAAACAATTATTTATTTCAATATATTAATAGCGATGAATTATGAATGAACTCACCCATTTTCCCTGTTCTCCAGGGAATTATTTGAAGAACGAGGAACTAGAGGTCTATAACTGGATCTAGTCATCTCGACAATGAAGATCACGTGTCAATAAACAATCCATTCATCGGTAGACACTAATCACTGTTATAATTAAACACGTCTGACATATGACGGTATGTGTTGGATACTGACTGCGATTGTTAATACATTTGTTGTTCTAACAATTGTCTGTGATAACTGCTATCTATATATCGAGGCCAATGAACATCGACCTGCTTTGACATAGATAAAAATAAAATGCCGAAAAACGGCATGTAAAGTATTTACTACGTAGCGATCAATAAAATTAAAGCTAGGGTGAAAGCTCTGTTTTAACCACGCCTCCGGCCGGGTCTGGAGAGCTTTAGTAAGTTCAACGCCATCTGTTGATAAAGAGTGGAACGAAGTTTTGGTTTCAGTGTTTATTTAAAATCCTGATTATTTTTGTGGCGAGTAAATAAAATATTTACTTAACATATTAGTTATGAGTTTACGTGAGTAAAAACAATATTGTTTGTGTTACAGAATGAATTACAAGTACTGTATTAAATATTTTTCTTGACTTCTTCAGAAGCAGGTTCTACGATTTCGGGTATTTTATCGATGGGGATTTCCTTTTTGCCATCAATTTCTGTTTCTTTGGTGAATTGTTCAAGTTCTTTTTCAGCGTTATTTAAATCCTCCTCGGTAATATTTAAATCCGGAAACCGCTTCTGTAATCATTATACTTACATTTTTATAGCTTAGTTTTACCAATAATTAATAAGGTAGTGTTGATGCAAACAAAAAATACTATTTGCTTAAATTAATTGATGAAGATGATGATGTAGATATAACAAAAAATAAACATTTTTTACGTCTTGAGCTTGCTTCCAAACATCTTTGTAATTATGGTGATAGTGGTTTTATTGCATATTTATATAGTGAGGAAAAAATAAAAAGATAAGAAGTAACTTTATTGCGTTCTTCGGAATTTAATCTTTATATTGTTTTGTAAGCAACAGAAATCTATACGGAAATTATACCTAAGTATACAACTTGTAACTTTTTTGTATATACTTTTGTTATCTTTTATGCATATCAACAATTATTATTTCCGAGAATGATAAATACAGTACAGTTCCCATTTTATTAAACATTGAAAAGTGTAGCGTAATTATATATAATAATAATTAGACCTTTTGTGCAATGGAATATACTCGTATGTATTAAATTTTGTTTTTAAAAATACTATTAGCTGACCCTTCTCTCCGTTTAAAAATTGGCACAAAATTTAAATGTATTATATCAAGCAACTTTAAATACCAATATTTTACAAAACGATTCTAAAAAGAAATGTTCTACAAGTTTGAGCTGTAGCAATAGATATACATATTTTTAATATTAAATGCTCAAATTTTCTGCCTATTTAGTTAGTCTACGTAAAAATCTTGCAATAGGTTGAGTTTATAGGGGAAAGTTTAATGTTACTCTCATCTTGTAAACCAGAAAACAAAGGTAATGTGGCAATAAAAGATTATCCACAATTAAGCCAAATTTTAACTGAGTGAATACATAAATAATTGAATTAATATTTTTTTTACTTTGAGGTATCTACGGAGAGTTTGTATTTGTTCTGAATTTAATTTTGTTATTCTTATAGAAAGAAGATTTGGGGATCATTAATGAATCCTTGCCTCATAAATGAATCAAGTCCAGGATTCTTCTACGGCACACTGATCAACTAACGGGCTCTTAATTGTTTTATCAAGAATACTCCATATAATTATACGTTACAAGCCAATAAAATAGCCATTTCACAATATGATCTGTCTTGACCTATGCCGATGATATGCTCAACTTTAAAGAACAGAAAATTGCAGTATTTAAGGCGAATCTGCAGGGATTTTGTGCTCTCATTTTTTTTAACAACACACATCTAAATTAGTTTATAGTTGATATATTATGATAGGATTGCGTTAAGCTGCCTCGCCATTCATAAAAAATTACAGATAACCAAAACACCTAAAGAGATAATAACGAACGAAAACATCTGCTAAACAATGAAAACCAACGCATACTTCACCAGTAAATACTTGTGTCCTGAGGACAGCAATCATGTATGAGTTAATTCTAAAGGCCTAATTTAATTAAAAAATCTACATGAGGCTACATACAAAAGTAGTAGGAAATAAATTCACTTATAAAAAGTTCGCTCACTTGAAGTTCCTGTAAGGTATGCTGAATATTTTCCTGTTGCGAGCGAAATCGCCTAGGCATTGTATACACGGTGTGGAAAAGACGCAACATAATCCAACAAAGTGCAGTCAGAGCTCCATAGGAAAACATGGTCTTTACCATTGTCCAATAATCAACGCTCACTTCTTGGTGTTTCATTATGTATCGATCTTTTTTTATTTATGCAAGGATTGGTTTATAAACAAATTAATAGACTGTCGACAGAAATATTTCACTTGAATGTTATTTAGTAATATTCGAAGTAAATCTATTAGCTCATAGTTATTCCTTTCAGTTAAATATATTGATTGGCCACGTTTGAAAATGACGAAAATGACATTTACGTGTTCGACACACAGCGGTCTCTAACAATAGTGACCTATTTTCCTTCCATTAGCAGACATCAAATTCAAATTATTAATGCCACAGGGGTGGTCAACCGTGAACTATTTCTTTTTTTCTGTAACCCCAATATTTTTTATTTAAGTAACTAGGTCCTAAAACTTATGCATTAATTCTTTAAAATGTGTTATTCTTGGAGTGGTCGTCGATAATGAAGAATAATCCTAAAATTTGGACACTTTAATATAAAAAATTAATTAAATTTAGGATGAAATATTATGGTTGCTTCTGCTGCGACATTAGTTTCAATCAACCTTTGTTATAGCTTTTAACATCATTTACTTAAACAGGTATACATAGAACAAAATTGGATTTTTTTATGTTTTAAAAAATATATACATATATATTAACGAAGGTTTTTTATTCAATGTATAACTAATTATCTACAAGGTCAATGCTTGAATCGATAAAACTAAGTGATTTAATAATTTAACATGCGACATTAACAGGTGTGTATATAGATCATACAGTATTTAGTAGTTTTTATTTTGTCGCTACGTATTTTGTCTAATTTTTTTACAAACCGAACTTGTTGTAGGTATACATCTTATTATGCACTAGCAATTTAAATAGAAAATTCGATGAACGTATTATTATAGTCACTGGGCCTTTAAGTACTACTCTATTACGCATGACCTATTGGTACTATAGGTACCACGTATTAAAAGGATAGTATGAGTCACTCATAAGCCATATCTATGTAAGCATTATCTTTCCCTTTCCTTAGTGTGACTGAGTTAACGGAAAATGTAGTAGTTTTAGTTCATTTCCTTAACCTTATACGTAGGTATATTTGCTTCGTTTATGATTCTGGGCACTTAGTGTGAGATTTATTACACTTCCCCAATGCCGCGGCTACGTATCATATGTATTTAGAAATCTTTGTTGGTCTGGAACGTTAATGACCTCGTCGAGAAACGATAGCGAGAGATACCAGTTGAAAATATTATAGTTATAAGAATATGATATAGTTATGAAAATATTCTAATTTTAATCCTTATAGCAAAGCTTTGAGAAATAATTTTCAATTTATTTTAGCTAGATGTCTAAAGCTTTAATAAGTTTATAATAACATAGAGGGTTTTCCTCGTATCTTCAATTTTTATTCGTTATAACAAGATAATAGTAAATTGATATTATAGGTTCTTCGGAAAGAAATTTCCTTTTTTTGGGTAAAAATGAAAGACGATTTTCGTACAATGAAAAAATTATACATATAATGGCTATTTAGATCAAATAGTGTCTTAAAAATTTTTGGTTTTTGCTAGCAGAAAACTAATCCAGATGATTTTTAACGTTTTCATTTGAGGTAGTTGTGTAACCTTAAAAAAAAGAAAACTGCAGTGACTAGAATAATTAGTTATCCGAAGGCACCAAAACTAAAGAAAATAATAGGTGTAGCAGTGTATGCAATTTAAGGTGTTTAAGATTTTGGCGAGTCACTGATTGCGAGATCTCGCAATAATTTGGTTGATCAATCCACCTTTTCTGTTGAAATGTATAATTCAGTATGACCAGCTGATGAAAGTAGACTTCCGTATTAATTCTTGTGTTCGATAAAAGCTCAGGTAACACTTAACAGATATCTATGCCCTTTTCTGCTAGAGTTTCTCTTTAAAAATGCTTTCTAGTCGGTTCATATTTTTTAATAATGTTCTCTTTCGTTTGACATTGTTAATTACAAAACATTTTTCGTCATTACAATACTGATAATTTGAGTAAAGTAGTAAATTAGATTTTTTTAGGAGTGAATCCAGACGACAAAATTATCTTTTCCGTGGAAAATGGGGAATCCGTATATCGAGATTCGAAGTTAAACCCAGGCCCTTCAGTTGACCATAAACAGTTGAATTCGATAAATTTAACTTCTCAGCGATGTCAGGTATAATTATTCAGAGGTTTTTATCAAGTAATCAACTAAAACACATCGGTTAATTTTTTAGTAGACTTGAACAGCATTTTTACCTTTTTTGTGCTAAAAAAAGTATAATATCTCGAAAATGTTCCTTATTTCTCTTAACTTTCACAAGGGCACCAACAAAAAATTACAAAAATAATTTAACTTTATCATACACGAGCCTTTCAAAACATCGGTATATTAATTATATCGCTTAAGTGTGAATTTGTAAAAAAAATACATTTATATTCTGACGGCAAACACTAAATTATTTTACCAAACAAATTGTTATTTTGATTACAGTAGAATATTTTGTTTCAATATAATATTTCCTACGCTAATTACATGCTAAAATAATGATAAAATATTTAAGCATACTCCCTCTTAGTTATAGCAGTTATTATTTTAATAAAATGTGTGTAAAATGAGAAATATAGATTTCAACATGAAGATTATTAATTATTTTCAATGTTAGTAGCAATATACACATGTATGTAGGAAAAAATCTTAGGATTTCGGATCAATGTGATCTTTTGGGTCAAGAATGACTGCAACGAAAGCTTGTAAATGGGAACAAATCTATGGCTTCTCAACATTGGAAAGTAAAGTGATTTTTCTCCTTAGATTTTTGTTAAACTGAAGCGTTATTTAAATGATGTTATCACGATATATCACCAGCCATACCATTATTTATAGTCCTTGCGTATTGATAGCAATGCCAAAGTTCGTTTTTGTTAAGTAGACAAATATTAGATCTCACTTGTAAAATGATTTCTTTTCTATCCACTAGATGGCTCTGATATTATTGTGATTCATTTTAATTATTATCAGTGGTGGCTTCATGAAGAATCCTCTAAATAATTGACATTATTATGATATTTCACTTTATCTAATCACTCATAACATCTGAACCTGAGGACCTACTAAGTGATTCTTCTTAACAAATTTTGATTACCCAATTTACTTAATGATTGGAAATAGCTTTCTTTATATCTTCTATCTTATCTTATCTTATCTTATCTTATATATATATAAAAATGGATTGCTGTTCCTTAGTCTCGCTAAAACTCGACAACGGCTGAACCGATTTGGCTAATTTTAGTCTTGAAACACTCCTGGAAGTCCAGGAAAGGTTTAAAAGATGAGAAAAATTGGAATAATTGCCGGGAAATTCCTAAAAACAGCCCTTTTCTATTTCCCATACAAACGTTTTTTTTGACATTAGATTTGACAACTAACTAATATGTCAGTCATTCTGTTTGATTGAAACAGGAAAAACCTGATTATTTATGGCCTCTTAGACGGAATAGAGTTCGCCTGGTCAGCTATACCTACATATATTACTCTTGACCAAACTAACGCGGACGAAGTCGCGGGCAAAAACTAGTCATACATAAAATTAAAAGGTTCTGTATGTGATCACTCTAAGATTTTGGTTATCCAGACAGGTAATGCATCTCATCAGCATCATTTATTTTAAAAGTTTCAAAAATAGTCACTTGAGTTACTTGGAAAATATATTTGTATTAAAATAAATGAAATATTATCTTCTTTCCTTTAACATGTCCTACTAATGTAAAACCTTAAAATTTAAAAGTTTTTTGATATGTTTTAATCACTCTTGTTTCATCGAAAATGTTCAAAACGTTTGGGAAATGAAATAAAAAAAATACTTAAAATTTTTTTCTGTATAAATAAAATCTTATTAATCAAATGCAAAATTGTGTTATGTTATATATTTGTATATATTACGAATTCTAATATGTAAAAGGTATTGATGGAATTTAATACAAAAAAACCGACGAATAAATATTTACATTATGTATAATTAAGAGAAAAAATAATTTCAAAACTGTACAATGTTTTCTATAGAGGTCCTTAAGCTTAATTAATATGACTGAATTAAATATTAGAACATTTTTAAATACAAAAACAACGCCATATGTTATAAATTTAAAGCTCAAATAATTTAAATTTGGTCTTCAAAACTACTTATACAATTAAACTTATGTTTCTGTTACTTGTTATATAAAAGTGCTAATATAAATAAGGTGCTCTTGGTGGGTTGTGTTCATGGCATGTTTTGAATGCATTCCCGAATTTGTGTCCATGCTTGCAAATTCTGGAAATATATAATTTCATTATAAGTATAAATCATTAATTACTGTTATCATTCATCAATCATTATTACAAATTATGCATTTCAATTTATATAAGGCAGTTTAATTATACACAAATTTGATATATTAATACCAATTTTGCTAGTATAATATACAGGGTGACTGGTGAATTACTATCGATACTTGAGGACGTGATATTTGACGATCATATATGACAAAATAAAAATGAATATAACATAAATATTAATAAACTTCTAAGTAAAGTTAACCAAAAGTTATGTAATTAATTACGCATCGTGTTAGCACCCTACAGATTAGGTATACACACACACACGCACGCGTCCACACTTGGAACGTGTCCACACTTTATTTATTTATACGGAAATTTGGTCAAAAATTAAGTACCTATTTTTTTTACATAATTCGAATGAGAATCATGTACCGAGTATTCTCCTTAAATATTGGTAGTAATTCACCAGTCACCCTGTATATATATCGATACCTCCCACGTAAGTTGTTGTAAGCCAAAAAAGTACTATTTTGCTTTTTTATGGATAATATACTATTATGGACCATTACTTCCATTCAAATTAAAAAAAAACGACAAAAACACTATTTTTAAAGGATTTGTCAGACGCATAATATTGTAATTTTCAAACGCGAACCGATTAAACTGATGTATATGCCTATGTAATTGTTTACGCGGGGCGCGAGGTGGGTACAATCACGCGCTCGCGCTACGTATGAGTTACATACAACAGAGTAAGACTTATGTTTTTCAACGTATACAGTTGTAACTATCATATACCACAAGTGATGCTACCTGGGCGCCACCGTATAATGTTGTAAGTGTCAGATACAACACCTTTTTTAGCTTCTACTCCAGAGTAAAATGTCGTATGAACAATATCTCCGCAAATAGGCATATTAATTAAAATATCTTTTAACGTAGTTAAGAAGACTATTATGTTAAATTTAAATACGAAATTTTAAAAAGATACATCAATGAATGCAGATTTTGGTTTAATTTGAATCTTTGAAATGCTGTACTGTAAAATTACAGTTTTGGAGATACAACAACTTACGTGGGAGGTATCGATATATGTATATGTCATATTTGATCCAAATCAGTGTAGTAATTTTGGTTTATTAAGGAAAAGAATATCCATAATAACTTTTACATACAGAGTAACTAAAACTTATTTTCAGTATATTTTTTTCTTTAAAAAAAAAGTTACCTTTTTCGCTGCTTTTACTTGTAATGTTATAAAAGCAACTAGCGACTCGTGCAAGTCCTTATCTTTTTGTTTTTGGAAGTATTCAATCTCAACCATAGCCTTTTTGGTAAATTCTCTGCAAAGATATATAATAAGTTAAGCGTTTTGTAACTACTCACGGAATCTTAACAAAAAGTATAGTAAGAAACGATATATTGTATGAAAAATAAAATCCTTCTAACTTGTTGTAACATTAATAAATGTAATTGTAACTTTATTTACTTTATGAAATGTTTAAAATAAATATAGAATTACCTTTAAATTATCAAAGTGAGAGTGAATCAAAAATAAAATTAATTGTCATAAATTTAAGATACATTCTATAAATACATTAAATATATATTAGTTTCCAGTTTTGTCTTTTTGTTCCAACTAATCTTTGCAATTTTTGAGCCGATTTTGACAGAACTCTCACTGGTTGACAGCTAATATAATGAGTCGAAACTTAGGCTATATTCATTATTAAAATTAACATCAACAATATCAGTTTTATATTCATAAATACGCTTATATAAAGATAACTAACTCAAGATCTCTCTTCGCTCTATCAATATTGTCTCTGTCTGTGTGTATCTTGTGGTCTAGGGCTCTCGTGGCGTGGTCGCGTACTATGTCGGGCTCCGTAGTACCGAACAAGCGAGACATGATGCCGGACTTGCCGGCGGCCGCGCGACCACGCTCAGATATCCTGGTAGGGGGGAAACGATAAGTAATACAAACTATCATGGTACAGGGATATTAATTCACTATTATTTGGATTTGATTAATTCAAAATTACTATTGAATATATATTTAATTAGTATATATCGCTGTCTAGCATCATTTTATTTGTATATGTTTTCGTTGTTTCAATTACTTTTTAGCGTGATCACGGGCAGATGAGATGAAAGTGTAAAATAAACGATAAATATCCAAAATCAGTGTCATGAATAATTTATTGATTTTTAAATTAAATTTTGTAAATTTCATAATGTTTGATACACATTTGGAATACACATATTACATATCTTCACAGGTTGTCATTGTGTGGAATATAATTTATTTCTAATGCATTTCATATCAAAAAATGACTTTATAATTGCCACTTATTTTCCGTACAAAATCTCAAATTATAACTTCATATAAATTCAGGTACTAAGCGCTTCATTACTGCTGGATTTGCTTTAATTATTACCTGTTATTGAGAGCATCCTGCGCGTTTTCTAGCGCCCGCTGCAGCGCTTCATGGTTAGCGCACAGTTGTTGCAGCGCTGCAGCATAGAACAAATACTCTTTAAGCTGATCTGCTAATTGTTCCTCGTCTTCCGCCACTGAGTCTATGGAATCCGCTATTGAATCTGTAATGTATAAAGAAAACATGCCATAGACAAAGTTTTTTATCTAAAATTATGCTATTATAACATGTGAATAAAGTTTGTATATCTTGAATATACTAAAGTTTTGCTATGGAAATTAATTATAGCAAACAATTACTTTGCTGTTAGTCAGATACAAATTAATACAGATAGTAAGATAGCTTTATTGTTTCATTACCAAAATAATGTCCAGCCTTTTGTAATCCATCTCCCATCTCTTTTTCTATAACACTCCACTCACTAAACAGCTTGCCGTAGTTAGCATGTAACTTACATAGGGCATAATTTTTCTCTATTATTTTTGATCTGAAAATATCATAAATCCTGATCTTGCTTCTCTGCTCAATACAAATCTAAATTTGTACAACTTTGTGTAATAAAATACATTTTGATGAAATTAATCAACATTACTTGAATAAAAGCAGCCCAATTATTGACAATTACAAAATGTACTTGTCAGAAAAGTCCAATCAATATCAATCTAGCCATGTCACAGTTTGATCAGAAAAAAATAAAATAAAAAAGTGAACCATATAATATATACACATCCAAAGGCATTTAGAAAGTGTTTATTATAACATTACAACTAGACTCACTAATATTTTATATATATTTACTGTACCTTGTGTATAGAAAATTTCCTAAATTAGTTTCAAGTTGTTTCCCATAATTTTTAACACTCTCTATCTCTGGATCCGGCTTCTTCAGTCTTATGGATACTGATAATGATTTTAATTTGTTCTCAGCTTGTAACAGATAGCCTGAAAATAAGTGTTTATTTCTTGTAAGATTCATTAAACTTGTATTTTAAGATTTATATGTGAGAATCTTCTTATAAACATCTATAAATATAAGTATATAATCTTTTTAACAGTATTAAATATTAACTAATATCCCACATGGTCCAGTTAATTCAGAACTTTCTCTCATTTACTTTATCAAAATCTTTATCTACAAGCTCATGATTTTTTATGATAAAATATCTTTAATGAGATCATTTAAATTAATTTTAAATACAATATTTGTATGACAGTTATATACAGTGTAAACTCTATATAACGACACTGAAGGGACTGCATTTTATGGCGTTATAGAGAGTTTGTCGTTAAATCGAGTGACGTTACATGGAGTTTACACTGTATTTATAAAAACTTAAACAAAACGATTTATTAAGAATAGCATGTGAAAAATATTTATATAACAAAGAATTACCACTATCGGTGATAGTTTCCCTCCATCCATGTTCCTGTTGAAGGAAATTGATAAACTGATCATCAAAACAAAGTCTTGGATGCGAAGCCACTCTTAATAAGAAATTCTCGAGTGCAGCCCGCCTTCTCTCAACAAACTCGGGATCTGTTGTATCTGATTTCCGCCATGCATACAATACCTGGAAAATTAAATAAGTATAATATTAATCACAATTGTGATAATTAAGTTGAGTTATATCATAAAGATATATTACTGTTAGATTACAGACATCTTAAAGAAAATCATCCTTTATGTGTCTTGCAATCTATTAAATAATCTTGGTAATCACAATTAGCAATGTTTCAATTTATTTGTTTCTTTTATTGTTGCTTTGTTTTGATTTTATCTTTCTCATGTAAACCATATAACATGGTTAATTATATTTTATTTATATAACAATATTAAAGGCTTTCATGAAACCTTTTAAGAATTCTAACTAAACACATAATACATAACACAACAAGCTCACAAAAGAAAAATATTTCTCATAAAGATGTGATAAATTTAAATAAATAGCAATCAGTAATTTATAGAAGTTGATAACTCCCACATAAGTTGATGTATGCCACAAAAATGCTATTTTGCTTTTTTCTGAAGAATATCCTATTATGGATCATTAAATCTATGCAAAGTAAAAAAACAACAAAAACTCAATTTTTAAAAGATTTGTCAGAAGCATACCTTATGTTGTAATTTTCAAATATTGCAGATTGTGGTTTAATTTGAATCTTTGAAATGCTCTACTGTAAATTTACAGTTTTTGAGATACAACAACTAATGTGGGAGGTATTGAAGTGTAAACAATGCTTGCCACATTTTTTTACTTGATGAAAATTTTATGTAACGATATATTAGTAGACAGGGTTGTAATCATTTGTAATATAGTTTTACTTAGAAATTGTTAAATAATAAGTTAAAATATATTAAGAATAAATAATGTTACCCTTTTTTCCGGCAGAGGTGGAATTACTACATGTGGATATGTAACCTGTAAATAATCATGAATTTGCTCAAACTCGGTGTATCTTCTCCATATAGTACTAATTTTTGATTGCACTATATTGTATTCAGGATCTGTGACTCTGAAAATTATGATAGGAAATAGTTTAGAGACAGAGATATATAAAATACTTGTGATATTAGAAAAACTTCTTGTAATATTTTCCTGCACTACACATTACTAAAGTTAGCTTAAGGCTAAGTATAAAGGTTAATAATATAAGTTATTTGCAATATTAATTTTGTAATAAAAACCACAAATATAATTAACAGAAGAGTACATACAAATTTCTTATTAAACTAGATCTATGACGTTATATATTAGTAAGCTAAAACAATCTAATAAGGCACTAACGAGACCTAATTTACGAACATTAAAAGTGAAAACAATGAAATGAGGTCTTACTTGAGATCGATTAAATATACAGTGTAATGATCTCGCACATGCAAGGTGCCGTTAGCTCGCTTCTCAGACTCCACAATCGATATATCAACATGTTTTAACAATGTGTCCTACAAGAAAACAAGTATATTTTGATATTGTTACCATAGAAGTAGGCGGTGTGACTATTATACAAACAAATACTTGATTTTCAAAGTCTTCCACTGTTTCAATTTTGTTCAGAGATCTTGAAGATTTTATCGGCGAGCTATCTGCCGACATTGTATATGATATTTTTTAAACTAAAGAATTTAGAATTGAATTTTAAAATCTAAGAACAGTGACTGTTTATTCTACAATATAAAATGACAGTTAGAGTTGTATGGAAAAAACCGGTATGAATAAAACCGGTATTAACTAGTGGTGAGCGTACAGCGTAGGGGTGACGTAGAAATATTGTTGTTTACGGTTTTTCTATGCTGTTTCTAATTTTATTTGTTGAAGTCTTAATCCATTGATGCTAGATTTTGTATTTTGAAATAGAATTTTGAAGAGTAGATTTCCTTCTTTTGTTAAGCAAAAACACCTTATGAGATACCTTAAAGTATAAAATTTTGTACATGTAGTTTTTATATCCCAGTGACTAAGTTATATAATATTTCGGGTTCTCTTCAATTATATATTACCATAACAATAACTGTAGTTTTTTTCCATGTTCTATCCTTAAAATTACTGGATAAAAAATATTTTTTATCGTTATATTACTAAAACTATTTGAATTAATATTTTAATTGGTGTGAGGAAACACTTAGGATGTAAATATGTTGGCATAAGACCAAAAGTTTGGTGCAAATTTATGTCATTTGTCATTGCGTTTAAAAAACATAAAAGAGGCGGTACCATTTTACATAAAATATTTTCTTTTAACAGTCACAGAGGAATGCTTACTTACTGTTTTAGTTTCAATTTAATAAAAATTTTGAAACCTGAACGTTAATATTTAAAGCAAGATAAATAAAATGGATTTGATAACTTGAAAAAAACTTTTTCAAACAAACTAATAGGGTTAAAAATAAATCAAAATAGAACAGGGCCTATTATTTTATATTATAGGTATCTACCAATATGGTTATTGGTGGATACCTACGCTGGTGCGTTAAAAAGGCAACATTGTGCTGTCACGTGACACTTGTCAATAATGAAAACGGCGCATTTATTTGAGTTTATATCAATATGTAACTAGCTATTTGATATTTCAATTAAGAAAACAGTCACTTTTGAACGCCTACCAGATTAAATATTAAAATTTTTTGACATAGTCACCGTCAACTTCTTAAATATCACAAATTCTTGATAAAAGGTCCCCGTTCGTTTGATAAATTTTCTCATCTGTGTTACACATCATTTTTTACATTCAACGTACAAGCACAACGATAAAATCAAGTGGACATATCTATATATAACAATATATTAGGAATAAGTATAACATACAAAATATATGTATAAGTGTTTTATTTCACAGACAGTATAAATAAATAAAGGAAATGCATACCGGATAATTTGAAATAAATCTGTAAGAACTCTTTTGTCAACTAAATTCTTACTAATTTCGTAACAAGTCCATTAATGCTTTATAGATTTTATCTTTTTGATAGATATCTTTCATTTATTTACAGGGAGTTTTTATATTTGTTGATATTATTACCAAATCATAGCGGTTTTTTAAACAAGCAAATTATTATATGAAATTAATAAATTAAAAAAGCGAATTGTATGACCTACCTAAGTTTCAAAAAATAATTTCTAGGTAAATGAACCCGTTAATTCATTTGAGTAGACAATTAGTAAGTATATTTTCCTGACCCAAAAACATATTTTAATGCTACAACGCGTACAAGCGAACTCAATAAGTACGAATTAATTAATGAGCAATCATTAAAATAGAACAATTAGGTTTTTTCATATAAAATCTGCGTATATAGATATTGGATGTAGGTAGGTATGTATTATAATCATATATGCTATGTTTATAAAGAATGTATTTAATCAAAACAGAAAATGTAATGACTTATTCGAATAAAAAGGAGACGTATTTTATTTATATATATTAGAATATATAGGTAGTGGTGGTGTAGTGGTTAAAACGCCCGCCTCTGGTGCACGAGGGCGCCCGTAACTCATAAAAATTTTTACGAGTCATATGTACTTTCTAAGAGTATTTAGACACCACTGACGGAAGGAAAAGGAAAAACATCGTGAGGAAACCTGGACTTATAATTTCACAATTATAAGTTTGAAATCACTGACGCGTCTTGAGCAAGCGTGGTGATTAAAGCTCAAACCATCTCCATGTGAGAAAAAGGCCTTTGCTCAGCAGTGGGCTACGATAGAATATTAGAATGATAATAAAAAAATAAATTGTATATGAGGTGATTTGTTCTTCAATCAATGCCGTATATTATCCTGTTTTTATATATTGATTTCTTTATTAGCTTATAATTAGCATTTTAATTAATTATTTCTTTTAATTGTCATACATACATAAAAAAATTATAAATCAGTACGTTTAATAATTATGATTTAAAAAACGTTAATACAACAGAATATTTTAAATAAAAAAGTAATGTTGGATATTAGAATAGCGTCGTTTACACAAAATATAATTATGAGAAAGTGAAAACCTGCAAAGTTTTCACTTAAGAATTTTCGTCATGATTTTCTGTGGCTTTCTGCGTGGAATAAATTATTATCAAAGCTTTGTAGAACAAAATCACAGCGCACATCTTGCTGAAATATTAATGAATCTCATTTAAGAATCCATATTTCGACTAAAGCAGATTGTACTAAAACAATGAAAGGGTTTTAAATAGTATAGTAACGTTTAATTTTTTTTATGTAATTGTGTTGTTCATAATTATTTATATGGTAATTCTTTAATAGTGACAACGTAAAAGTAAGGCTGCCGATGTATCGATTTTTCATTATTCACTTAAAGATTTAAAATTCTCATCATTTTGATACATGTCGTCAACACTCTAAAGCGGAAAAAATATAATTACAGGCCTTGGTCGCTGGAAACAAAATGCTTTTTTAATTTTTAGGACTTTAGGAAGGGAGGCCAAGGTTTGTTGAATACAGACAGATGAAACAGCTTTTTAACTTTTTTGTCATAAAAAAATTTACAACCTTTTTGTAATACCAATTTCCGCTTATTACGAGGCTTAAAATTTTGGTGTAGGATAAGATTGTTTCAGTGCTAGTAGTAAAGTCGCGGTTTATATCTCGAGGTTTTTATTAACGCTCCATATTATCTACAAAGCGTTTTTAAAAATCGTTTGCTTTCTAGAAGGTTTCTGGTTTTATTATAATACTCTGTGGTTATATTAGAAGTAACAAGTTAATTTAAAGAAAAGCAATATCTATATGTCACAAATCCCTATGAGGGTGGATTTTTCCAGAATCTCATTGATTAATTTATTTTATAGGATTATCTTATAATTGAATTACTATCCTTCTTTCGGTGTCCTTTGACGTAGGACAAATATATGTTTTTTTATTAATATGTAGTTGTAAGTCTCATGAATAAGTTCTAAGAACAATCTTATTATTGAAATTCCTGTTAATACTACTCATATTGATACTTACATTCCTTATCAGCAAAAGTTACCCAACTCTTTGCCCTTATCTGGATGGATCGCTAACTAACTGGTATCGTTCAAGAACCCTGTAAAGGAGTATTATTTCACGTAAATCCCGCCTTGATTAATTCTCTGCAATCTAAGGCACCTTCTATATCTTTATATGTACTTAAGCATTTGTTATATTGAACATATACGGTGTATCAAATGTGATATCCATATTTGTATCGTCCGTATTAATTTATATATTTCAACATTTAGTTGTATTTACACTTGTGTATAAATCAGGTATATGTATCCAAATGCCCCCCACCCCCACCCTCATCTATGTCTTTTACCAAAACAAGTACCTGGAAAAAATCACTCGTAATTAATAAAGTCGCCTTGGGTACTTCACTCTTGTTTTAGTACGTAAATAATGTTTGTGTGAAGTGCAATAAAGCTAATTCTATTCTAGAGCGAATATGCTTATCCAATTTCAAGTATTGTTTGATCCATCGTTTGCGATATAAATAAATATTGATCTCATATTTGCAGAAAAAGAATTAATAAATGTCAAGTGTAAATATTTAAGTTTGAAAGTTTAATTTGAATATTGACTAACGCTTCATTTTACATTGTATTTTCATAAGAAGTATGATTAGATCTCGAAACATGTGAATGTGAATGGGCATTATAGGCATTTACAGTTCAAGCAATTATGTCCTTTGACCATCTGAGCTCGTTCAAAGAGATAATTGGTCTATTTGTGTTACCCCTGATAACTGGCTATTCAAGCTTGACTAACAGAATGGGGATGTTAACGAAATCTAAGGCTTTCGTGAAATTCAGAAATACTTTTATTCCTGTCTTGTTATTGAAGAAGTGTGATTATTATGACTAACTTTAAGAATACCTTATTCTTACAATATTATACATAGATATATAAGAATACCATTATAGTTTTCACCTGTCTTTAAAACTTCCATGTAAAATTGTTTCCTTAAATGAAAATAGATAGCCAAATATTTTGAAAAGGCTGTGACTAAGTTGTGTTACAATCGAACATAGTAGTGGATATTCACTATGGATTGGCAGTACCTACTTATTTAAATACTTAATCTAACAATTTTTAATTTCTCCAAGGATATCAAGTTTAGAAATAAACCAGCTAACGATAAGTTAAAGTATAATAAAACAACAAAAATATACTATAATACTCGTATAACATATCATTTGTAAGATAAATATCAAAATTTACCATAGAATTTTTATGTTTTGCAATAATATAATAATTCTATTATAGTGTTGGTTGGCGATGCCACCTCAGTCCTATTTTTCGTATCTTTAAAAGTTTTAGGAGAAAATATTTTTAAGGAAAATCTTATTGGTTCATGAGATATCTTCAGGTCGTTGTTATCATTGGAGATATTTCTCCAAGTTCACTATCTAAGGAAGAATGATTTCTTATTACTTCTCACCGGTTTATATACATATATTTTCAATGTATATAAATTGAAATGAATTAAAAATATATAATCGTAAGTTTTATTTATTTCAACCATTTCATAACTTTTTTTTTTTCGATGTCGCAGGGAAACTCTTTTTACCCCCCATCATACTTCCTATCTCCCATGCTAAAAAACTCTCCTCAAAAAGAAACAG